ATTAGTAACATACCAAGGTGCCTTGTAAACTGATTAATTCTTTTCGATAAGTTAAAATTTCATTCTACAGTTTGTAAGAACGATAATGACGCAAGTTAGTACCAGTACATATGAAGTACTCTAGTGCTATAGTCCCAAGTAGTTGCTAGTACATCGCTGTCGGCGGATAAAATGTAGCTTGCAGCCAATATACGAACGGACAGTGATCAAACTAGTCATCTCAGCGATGAAATGAAAATCCGATTTAATTGTCATACCTTGTAATATTCTTCTAATGATGCGCTATTCGACATGCTGTTATCGTCAGATGGATGTGAACTTACTTCGTCTCCATACTAAAAAAAATAATGTTCAATAGTTTATCCTATCGCATCCGTAAATACTTTTATTATACTCGACTATATTATTATCATCATTAATTTAAAAGTAAGGCTGTGAAGGAAATGGAAATATTCTATGAAATCCTTTCGAGTAGTTTTTCTCTTCAATTAATAATTTAAGATGGACAGTCTGATATCGAAGCTATACAATTTTACTATCCTTATAAGTTTTATATTAAAATAAATTGACTCACCTTTCCTCGTCTGCTTTTTGATTTATCTTGGATGGGAGAATGTTGTAATATTATTTGGTCGTCAGTAACAGCAAGTCCAGGTGTTGAATTTTGACTGCGATCATCTGAATTATAGCTATTCCGAGATGGTGATATTTGATGAACACTAGCCGTAACATATTTATATTGTGCGTCTTGAGATCGATTGTGGTTGTCATCCGAACTATCATTATGATTAAACGATTTCTTTCGTATTACTTTTGGGGCTTGACCAGCTGGTAACTTTTTTCTACTAGGCGATTTGGATCTTCGTCGGCCACTAGCATCGCTAGAGGGTACACTGTCTGTGCTTAGGCCATTCCTTAATAACTGTGATGTACTTCCTGCAGATAAATAATTATCGGTACTTGATTGCGCTCGTCGGGCACTTTTATCAGAATTGTGACCATCATTGGATATATTGTAGGATGTATGGCGATCAAGAGTAGATGAATGATAGGCTGATCTATTGGTATAGCTTGATTGTTTAACGCTATGAGGTTTATAATGGGCAGCGATAGCTAATACCAATCTCATGGTAGCTTTAATGTTGCCATCAACAATGTCTATCAAATTGAATTCAATCATTCCGAAGGATTGATGTTATTTTTATGATAAAATTAATGGCGATTTCTATTATAGTTTGTTATTTACCTTTTGCTACTGTTCGGTGCATTTGCATGCGTTTAGCTGCCATAAATTGTAAGACTCGGTCGACATTATTTTGACAAGCTTCAATTGTTTCAGGATTATTATCGATGCCAGGTAGAATTTCGCCGCCTAAGTGAACAAAATTGTGAGTGATGTACGCATATAATTATCAGAGAGAATACTATGGCTGCTTTAATAAACTTGGCAATAGCTAGAAACACTTAGAGACATTTCTTGCTATCAATAAATTTTGCTATTTCATATTTGACATCTATAAATAGCCGAGTAGTGGCTTACTAACAGCAGTCACTGCTATCGCAACTTTCTAGCAATACTAGCTAATAAAGAATTGGTTGAGTAATTTGATGGACTGTATGTAATTATTGTCGTTGCTATAAAAAAAACGGCACTGTAAATAGAGTATACATGATTTGACAGTAACAGCGGTAATTAGTTGGTTATCATTGGACTATTGATTCATCTTTAATTACTGTTAATAGAGTATATAAAGTCGATTAGCGGCTTCGTTCAATATTTTAAGTGTTTAATCTAATTTGAAATGGTAGCTATAGTAGAATCGGGGGATCTGATATTTAAGACTTGAGGAATGGTAAATTATTGATCATAGGAGATAATTCTATAATGGTTTTCGTTTTGCTAAGGCACATTAAAAGGCGATAGATTAAGCGAACTTAAGCACTATTCCTGCAATGAACATAATATGTAGTACGGTAATTAATGTTAGTTTAGCTAGCAATCGTTCCCTTTTCCTAGATCGGATTGAATTGCTTAATTGGAATCTTTGGTTAAATTAGTAAGTGTAACGTATAAATTTGATAGATTGTCAGTGCGAGTAAGAGTTATTGACTAAATCATCAGGATAGCTACCGATGTATTAAATAGCTGACCATGATGAGTGGAAAGGCGCTAGATAAAATAATTTGGAAGGACAATATTGAAGAGGAAGTTTACTTTACCACAGTAGATTGTTAAGAACTTGCCGAATAAAGAGATAGTATGAAAAAGAATAACCAAAAACTGTTGTCGTCAATTTGGGTTATACTTTGTGCATGCTTCCGTATACTGGATCCAATTCATAACAAATTATATGCGTTTATGGCGATAGTCTAAAATAATTAATACAGTCTACATTTACATCCTACTGCTTTTCTACTCTTAAAATGATTAACGTGATACATGCTTGTATTATCCTTTCCTAAAGGTTGGCCTCACTAATACATGAATTAATAATTTGATATCCTATGCGATTATTGCGATGCTGGTATGCTAATCAAACGCTGCCAGCACTTATAAATAAATATCTGAGAATGAGGAGTGCAATAACGCTCAATAAAGTAATATTTGGATGGACGACATTGAAGCGGAAGTTCCACTTTCGAGAATAGATAGTTAAGAATTTGCCGAATAAAGAAGTAAGATTATAAAGCATTACAAAATATCCTTGTTATACATTTGGGGGTATACTTGGTCCATTCTTTCACAAACTAGATCCGATTTATAACAAGTTATATGCGATTATGGACATATTCTAAAACGATCAATATAGTCTACACTTACGTATATCCTACTACCTTCTACTCTTCAATAATCAACGTGATATACACTTATATATTATCCTTTCTTGAAGGTTAGTATCACTCAATGAATTGATGCTTGATGTCCTATGCGATTATTGCTATGCTCGTAGGCTAATCAAGCACTATAAATACTTTTATATATTATCCTCTGCTAAAGATTAAGAATTATTTAATGGACACGTGAAATCTTATGCTATTATTGCGATGCTTGCGTATATTGATCGACACAGTCAATACTTCTATCATCTTCTTCTAACCGTTAATAATCATTTCATTAATTGATTGATGTCTGCAATCCTCTGCGATTATTACGGTATTTCGAAAGGGGGTTAATGCAGTACATGGCGATATTATCCCTTCTTGAAGATTACTAGTTATTCCATTAATCGATGTGACAAATTACAGATGATGATTGCAATGGTTATGTACAGTCGTACTATGATTAATACTACAATTTACTATCGTTCATTTCAGAAGGCCAATAATAAATTAGCCAACGAATGGACATGTAAAATTATTTCACAATTTCAAAATAATCAATATAGTCACACTCATCTCCTACTTTTCTAAATTTCGATCATAATTATAGGCGATTATCACTCTACTTAAAAATAGTAATCATTCAATTCATTAAGGCATAAAATCACGAACGATTATTGCAAGACTCGTAATGTGTTCTAGAAAGTATTCGTTGACATTATACTTCCTGATTGCTCATTATTATCAAATGAATAGCTACGCAAAATTAGGTGCAAGTATTACGATAATGATAAAATTAATTCCAACTAACCTACTACAGACTTACTTAATGCAGCAATAAGTTGTGCCAAGGCAACCCCATCTCGAAGATCATCTTGAAATTGATAAATTTGGCGTTGTCCAGAGATCTTTTTCAATTGTGAATTAATCCACAATGTATAAGTGACAATTTGTTGCTATAAAAATAGATTTAAAAATTAAATTTGTATTCGTTAAATTTGTAAAATATTGCATTATTTAGTTTGATACTTGTTGGTAATGAAGTATAAGTTACTATTTTAGACAGGCTACAACACTTGTATTATAAAATTTTTATTTACATATTGAGTATCAGTCTTCATGTTAAGTTAATGGTATACTAGACTAGTTTTTACGGATTATCATGAAGCTGCTTATACGATTTTATTGCAAAGTATGGAGGGATAAAAAATATACGTGTCATCAAAAGGTATGTAGAATCCTTCCTGTTGAATTGAGCATTATCCAGGTTGTTATAAATATAATCAATGGCTACGATGAATATCTCTACCGTGGGAAGAAAAATACCCCTGTTTGCAGAAAAGTGTGCAGAAAATGCAAGATTGAAATAGAATTCTTTTTTCAATGTTAACGCTTGATTTAGTATCATGATGAATAATGAACGGATAGCAAAGGCAAAGGAAGTAAAGGCTAATGATAGCAAAGTATACTAAAGCTCTTGCTACTGTGTCACAGAGACACTTTATTTACAGTAATTATAGAAAATAATATGCTTGGACATTATTGTTCTAAATCAATAGCTGTAATGAATATTGCTAGAAGGGAAAGGAAAGGTTCAAGACTAGTCATAGCAGGGGATAGCAACACCTTTCTATTACCTTTCATATTTTTTTTTGATTGATTGATTGTCATGATGGATTATTGTCAGTATAGTGATTGTTGTTTTGACGCATAGAGTAATGGCTTTGATGTAACTTGTTGGAGAAATATTCTTCAATTGATTTGTGAAATGCTATATTGAACATGGATATATAATTTCTAATAAGCATGGATGATTCTATAGTATAGAAAGAGATTGCTTGCTATAAATGCCTGGCGAGAATTAGTGTTGCTGCAAAGGTACATTAATCATTGCTGTGCCACTAGAAGGATATAGAAAATCCTCCTGATCAATCCTTGATTAGTATAGATTATGATGAGCATAGTAGTCATGGTTTCCATTCTCTGTGGTGATAAAAATGGCTGCAAAGGAAATGAGAAACTACCCCTTGAGGTTCTACCGAATCCTCTTTTTGATTCTTAATGGTCGATTGATCATAACGATGGTCAACTACCTAAGGTGATTATGAATCCACAACAAGAATTCATGAATGAATAGGACTACAAGGAAAGGAAAATAAGAATTACTGGTACAGAAGAAGAGTATTCAGCAATCCTGTAAATGCTACTATCTGAAATATTATCCTCATCAATTGTAGCTATCCGTCAAGGGATTGTTTTGCCCTGCATCCAATAGCAGCCATGAATATTGCTGTTGGGGAATAAACGATTAGCTTCAACATGTCGTTGCTCCCTCATTTCATAGACTACAGTCCATAGCGATGGTCCATAGTACGAGTATAACTTTGATGTTGAAGATGGCAAAATGAGGTAAAGACAAAGCTATTGATTAGTATGAGCAGACATAAGACGCCATTTTCAATTAGATTAGGATGCCATCTGGCGCGTCGTTAATTTACTATTAAGAATATAAAGTCTTTCCTTTAATTAACTTATTATCCCCATCCAAAATTGTGCTCAAGAATGCCTTTACAACTGTATGATATTCATTCTTCACTTTTCAAGTCATACGATCCGATACTTTCCATTGCCTTCAAGATGAAAGCAAAATTATTCTAAATATTAAAATGGCAGTTGATAGGTAATCACGCGTTACCATGATCCATCCATCGCTGACAATATTGATCAGCAAGGCAAATTAGATCGGTACATGAAATTTTTTCAACGGACAACATTCTGTCTATGTCTATGATATGAATAGTGGTTTATGGCTGTAATTAGTTCTACAGCATGGATCGATAATCAGTGGATGTGCTAAAGTGATCCATGTTTGATGAGATTGATCAGCGGGATAACCGATGTACCAGCTCAGACTCGATCCTTCTCCAAAATAAATCAACTACTGTATGCGGATTTAGGCATGGCTATATTAAAATAAATATATCTTTCTACGAATGGAGTTGTTAATCGGTAATTTATTCTTAGGTTGAAATGATCGATGGCTAATGCGATGCACTAGTAGGGCAATGTATCAGTAAATTCAATCTACTTATTCCACCATTTGTTTAGCTAAAATGGAGTTATAAGTATCAATATTGTCTTGTAGACGCCTACAAATATTGATTGATTCGTCGTCAGAACTATTTTATAATGAGTAAAGAGTAGAACCTATCAAGTTGTTCAATATCCATAAAAATAATGGAAGAAAGTCACGGTGATTCAAAATATTCAATCAATTCTACAGTGGATAATATCCTATCTTTCCTTTATCACGATAACGATGTCAAAGTTACTCATTAGAATATTGATAATCACGAGATCTAAGAATAAGTTTTGTCCTAGATACTTATAGTACATTAGAAGTAGAAATGTGTAAATTGTCCATCCTCTTTCTCGTCATGATTACGATGTGAAAGTGACGAATTGAAGTGGACAACAACGATGATTATGAATCAATTTTGCTGTAGAGAATCACGGTGGAATAGAAATAGAGAAAGGAAAGAAATCATGTCTGGCATGTTGTACCAACTTGATTCACGATCAAGAACGAATATGAAAGGGAAAATTAGATTGATATCAAGACTAATTGATCGTAAAGTCGAAACTATCATTGCGATCCATGACGATGAGCTAGTTTGTCTACAAATTAATTCGACTCCAGTCAAGGCTAGTAATAGGCATGCAAAGTGTGTCCAATTCTACGTTAAAAGTAGGGATTGCATCTTATTGGAATGGCGGATACTGATTTCCAAAAAAAAATCGACAGATTCTTGTTCATTTACAGCGCTTTTAATCGATTACCGATGGGAAAGGGCCTATGCATAGTGTGCCAACTTGATTAACCATCAATAACGGATATGGAAGAGGAAATGGGATTGATGGAAAGAACGTTCATTATTGTTGAATAATATGCATTTTATCATGGAATATCTTGATTGATTGGAAAAGGATATCATGCAATGGGTTTGGCTTTATTGCTGTATCTGGGCTGGACGACTTTGGTTGAAGGAAAAATTTCTTCCATACCATGTTGTGCATGGCTATTAAAAACGATGGGCAATTCAATCTGTTGAACAACATGGATCATGTTGTTCAACAGATTAATTCATCAGATCAATCATTGTATCTTGCATTGGATGAGGATAACCTTTGTTTATTAGACAATTTCTCCATCATGCAAAAAGGGGATAAAATCAGCCTAGGTAGTAGTAATGTAGTGATAACTTTCTTTCTTCTATTGCTTATTTCCTTAGCAGCTTGATTTGGATTATGGCGTCGAAATGGGCGATTGTAGTGGATGTAGAAGGCAAGGTTGAAAGTCATCATTGGTCATGTTAATTTATCCTAGAGTTGACTACTCCATCGATCGTTGTTGTTCTTTTGGCAGATTATGAAAGGGTAAATAGACTGATCAACAAGAGGAAGTGATTGCCATGATAGCAAGACTATCTGCTAATGCAAGTCCTGAAGTTTGCAATCATCATGGAGATCATTTGTCTAATTTATCTTCACTTGGACTACTCTTGGCTTCGCCTAAATGGATGAAATTGCTGTCATCCTAGCAAGACTTTCTGCCAATGCAAGTCGTAAAGTGTGCCATCATCATGGAGATTATTTATTCAATTTATCTTCACTTTGACTACTCTTCATTTCGCATAAATGTGTGAAAACAAGTTGTCATCATCTTGGTGATGATAACTGCCTTGTAGAATTTCAATTTTCCCTTCTTTTCTCCCTTGTATAGGGTTCAAAATTAGACCAGTTTTCTTCACTGTGACTACTCATAGCTTAGTAACGGTATATGCAAGCGTGCAATCATCATGGTGATTATGTGTAGAATTGATCTTCACTCTGGCTACTCTTAGCTTGGTGAAAATGCAATTTTTCTTCCTTGTAGAAGGCTGAAAATTAGACAACAATTTTTCTTTCCTGTGATTACTCCTAGCTTAGCATCCATGTGTGAATACGCTGCAATTCTCATGGTGATCCTGTCTACGATCTATTTCCACTTTGGCTACTTCTAGCTTAGTAGAAACGCGTGAAAATGCTGCTATAATCAGAATGATTATGAATTTGCAATTTTTCTTTCCTTTCTCCCTTGTAGAGTGGTCAAAAGAAGATCAAGTTACCTTCACTGTGACAACTCCTAACTGAGTATAATTAGATGAAAACACTGCAATCAACATGGTCATCATGTACATCTACAATCTATCTTCACTTTGGCTACTCCTAGCTTAGCATAAGCGCATGAAAACGCTACAATGATCAAAACTGATTGTGAAATTTCAAATTTTCTTTCCTTTTTCCCTTGTGCTCAAAAGAAGATCAATTTCTCTTCACTGTGACTACTTATAGCTTAGCATAAGTGTGCAAATATGCTGCAATCATCATGGTGATCATGTCTCCAATTTCTCTTCACTGTGACTCCTTATAACTTAGCATAAGTGTGCAAATATGCTGCAATCATCATGGAGATCATGTCTCCAATTTCTTTTCACTTTGGTTACTCAGAGCTTGGCATAAGCGCATGAAAACGCTACAATCATCAAAGGGGTAATTGTGAAATTTCAATTTTTCTTTCCTTTCTTCCTTGTAGAGTGCTCGAAAAGGATCATTACTCTTTACTATGACTAGTCATAGCTTAGCAGAAGTGTGTTAAAAACGCTGCAATTCTCTTCCTGATCATTCCTGCCTTGTGAAATTGCAATTTTCTTTTCACTTCTCCCTGAAAAAACGCTCGAAAGATGGCAATCTCTCTTTCCTTCGGCAACTCAGAAGTGTGTAAAATCGCTACAATCACCATAGTGATCATTTCTACCATGGGAAATTTTAATTTTTCGTAATTTTTCTCCGCGGTAAAGTCCTCGAAAAACGATAATCTACCATTCCTTGGCCTATTTATAACTGTGTGCAAACGCTGTAATCATTATGGTGATAATCATGATTTCTACAACTTCTCTTTCCTTTGGCTACTCGTAGCTTTACATAAGAGCATGAAAACGCTGCAATGATCATGATGATTGTCCGATGGCAATATTTCTCTCCTTTCTCCCTTATAGAATGATCAAAAGAAGGCCATTTCTCTTTACTGGGATTACTCGTAGCTTAGCAAAAGTGTGTAAGAGCATGAAAACGCTGCAATGATCATATGATGATTGTCCGATGACAATATTTCTCTCCTTTCTCCCTTATAAAATGGTCAAAAGAAGGTCATTTCTCTTTACTGTGATTACTCATGGCTTCGCAAAAGTGTGTGCAAACGCTGTCATGGCGATCATGGAGGCTTATACAATTTCAATTTTCCTATCCATTAATATTAAATCATTCAGAATTGTATTTCCATCATTCTATCCAATTCTCCCTTGTCATGTGGCCGGAAGATTTTAATTTTTTTATGAATGGGACAGTATCCTATTTTAATATATACTGTAGATATGTTAAAATAGCGTTATGATCATTCGCTTGATTTCTATCTTGGAATACCACAAGATGACAACCATCTTCTACTTGCCATGAACTAATAAACTACTTCAAAGGAGTACCAATGGAGGATAACATGGCTACTCTATTTCTTCTTAGCCGTTGAATACAAAGATTTCCATTTTAATTTCCTTCTTGACCAGTAGATTACT